CAACGAGTCTGGAATTGTCACTATGGCCAACTGCTCGCAGTCGACCCACAATTCGGGGTAGTGCCTCGAGGGCAGCTCGGGGTAGTGCCTTTCAGAGTTGCAAGTCCTTGAAGACCATCCCAGGCTCTGTAGCTATCGGCCTGTTGGCGATGGATGCCCTGCAAAACACCATTGCCAATATAGCAATGGTGTTTTGCAGGGTTGCTCGTCCTTGGCCAACTTGACCATCCCGAACTCGATGATCACATTGGAGGTCATGCCTTTGAGGATTGCAGCTCTTTGGCAAGTTTGACAGTCTCCAACTCCTTGATCCATACTAGATAGTCATCATGCCATCTGGGCATGATGATGCAGTCCTTTTTCTGAACGAACGACCATCTCAAGTCTCAAGTTGTGATGCCATGATTTTGTCCTCTTAGGATTGCAGCGAGAATGAGCTTACCAAGCAAATAAGAAATCCAATGTTTTGGTGGAGCTTTCGCTCGCACCGTGAAAAGGATTGCATTTCTCGGAAGCCAGGTAGATGATGCTTCCCGCGGCTGGCAGCTAGGGCGAATCTGTAGAATATATAGTACAGCCGATTGTTTACTAAGTAACTTCCCTATTCTTCCCTTCTTGAGATCCCCCAAGCCCCGGTGTGCGCAGAGGGCTCGCAGTTGCGTGGCCAGTAGACGGCCGTTTTGGTTTCAAGATTTGCATCGCAAGAGAGGATAAATGAAAGCTCGGCTCTTTTTGGATCTCTTCAGAGGAACACCTCCCTGGCTGATGCACATGTACATGATGGCGATCGTGGGCGCCTTCATGAAGCTTGGACGCATGTTTGTGACGGCTCGGAGATCTTCACCAGGCGACTAGAGGTGTGTTTTTAAGTATAATTCTAATAGCTTTTTGTTACTACTAGTAAGGCACCTGTTACTACTAGCGTGGCACCTGTTACTAGGAGCAAGGACGCGACCTTGGCAGGTTCTTTTCGTTAATCTCCGCCCGGACTTCTGACGCCTGCGCATCCTCAGGTATTTGTTGATGGCCGTGTGGTGGCTCGCCTTTCACCGCAGATTTTCTGGATTTCTGGGGCCTATGTCAGCCAAGGGGGGGGAAGATGGGGAAGCACCAAGCACATGGGAATGCTTGGTGGTGAGCTGTCTGGGTGGTTGTTCCGATTACCTTTTCAACACTCCGAGGCTTGCCATGCACGTCCGGCACTCAGAGCCCTTCCACTGGAGGTCCGCGTGCTTCACAGGTTGGATTTCGGACCATTTGTATTCGGATTGTACCATCTAGCGTCGCCTAGCGTAGTAGGTTGGAGGATGTTGGAGGCCATCGCTATTAGGGTGGAGGCCTTCGCTAGTAGAAACAAAGCAAAAGAAAAGGACAGAAGGTCCTTTGATGTCTGATATATATATATATAGTCTGCTAATGTCTGCCAGTAGGTTGGAGGCCATTGCTATTACCACCGAGGCCTCGATTGTAGCACAGTGTACGGAAGTGCGTCTGCTGACGCAGTTCGTGCGACGGCCGGGGTCTTACAGGGGGAACGGGTGCATCCACGGACAGGACCCAGTTCACCTTGAAGGGTCCTGCCTTCTGGGTTCGTACAGTTCGTAGCCCAGAATCCTCAAGCCTCGACTTGATCCGTTTGAAGGTAGCTCATGTTGCATGCATTGCATGCAGAGGTGCACGTCCTGACATGAAATCACCGTGCTGTCACAGGCCGGTCCCTACGTGGGAAGAGCTACAGGTGTGGTCAGCCAGATGCACTTTTAATCTCTTGAAGAAGCACGGCCTCTGCCCCATTTGTAAGACATCCCAGGAAGTTCCAGCAAGGAAACAGACGGACGTTGCCGTATTCTATCTATGCCGTTCTGTGCTTTTTCCTCGAAAAGGCCTACGCTTCTCAGGACATGCGCACCTTCGCTCAGACCTACGAGCATTTGGAATCCGGGCAGGTGATGTCGGGGAGCCTCAGAAATGTCTGCTGCCAGGGCACTGTAAACTTGGCATTGTCTGGAAGTTCTGGAAGTCTTGAGCAGAAGTGATTTCTACCTTCCATGATCTTCACTGGTATTTCAGGCTAACTGCGGCTGATAGAGTGGCTGATAGTCGTTACAACAAACTTTACAGTAGATTGCAGCTGGTCTTGGGGCGGGCATTCTGCACACCGCCCAGAGACGGAAGGCGTGTGCCCTTCACGGGTACAGCGAAGCCTGACCAAGACCATGCGCGAGGCAGTTGGAGGGATGACAGATTGGGGTGGCGAGTGAAGTCAGGCGGAAGTCCAAGCAGCGGTGGAGGGGCAGGGATCAAGGTTTGTTTTTTATGTATTATTTATGCATATACAGTACGTATATATACGTATATGAATATATATATATTAGTTCTAAGAAAGGTTCTATGTTCTATGTTTGTATATGCGCAGAAAATATGCAGAAGAGTTTTAAGCATCTGAAAGGTAAATCTTACATCCCTACTAACACCCGCCCTCCTCCAAATATATGGATGAAACAGTGAGATATTATTGAAGAGCGGTTTTTACAGAAGAGCAGACTTGTAAAGTCAATTCTTGCAAGACACCTCCCTGATGATGCCTGCAATTGCTGCAGCAACTCAAATTCGTCAGCGCTGCCTTGATCTTTGTTTTCCCGTCCCATGCCATGACTTCGTCCCCTCCCTTGACTTTCTGAACCCCCAGAGTTTACTCTTCCAGTGTGTGTTGTGTGGTTCACCCTCGCTGTGAGCATGCTTCTCAGTTTTTTCTCGATTTTTTTTGGCCAATGTGCTTTGCAGGCGAGACAACGAGTGCCTTTGGTTCCCCGTTTGGCTCTCAAAAGCCCAGCCCCACGGTAGGAGCGATGGACGGGTTGGCACGTGGCGAGGGAGACGCAGATTTCCAGTGCTGCTAAGTGCGAATGTCCACCCAACAGCAATGGTGTCGCCGGGAGGTTATGTGGTGGGGCTGGCATTTTTATATCTACCTGGATGTGCGTGTGATGGCCCAGTCATCAGTGTCCTAGATCTCCTCGTCCTCGTTCGCCGTGTTGGGCCTCACAAACTTGGGATTTGTTGGGTGCTTCGGGCTGAAACCGGTTTTTTGGAACTCACTCCTTTCAGGAGCCCTTCCGAGCGCCGCGGCCGCCGTCCTGGCCCCGGCAGCGGTTGGAGGTGTTCGAGTTATGCCGATGGAACGAGAGACGCTGAGGAACGAGCCATTGACCCGTGGTTCAAGGAGGCGTGGAGGGCGGGGAGGATTGAACTAGCTACTGTTGCTATTGTTGGAATGGCACTTGGGGGATTCCAGTGATCCAGGATGGCTGGGGATGAAATTGAACTGGGCAGTATCCCCCAGCATCGGCTGGGTTCAGCGGATTATATGTACAGTCATTTCGTTTGACCCTTTCCACATGCCGCAGCTGAACTGAGGCTCATGCGGAAGATCGTCAAGGATTGTGCCTTGCACATATTTGATAGTAATTATATGTGTTGATGTGAGAACTGCAATATTGACGTGAATATAATGATCATTCTGAGGTGCATATAGTTCAATAATAGTATAAGTATATATACATACAGTATATTTGCAATTTCTTTTGAGATCTCACATGAAATGTAGATCAGCGGGACTTTTGCACACTGGTCAGATTTGGGCATGATGTTCCATTTCAGAGGATCAAATGAATCGTAACGGGTAGCTATAGAAGCTAGTAGGTTGGAGGCCTGGTTGCTCTTGTTGTTTTTAGTTTGTAAGTCCAGGCCTTCAGGCGTATCGACGGGGCTACTAGGATAACGTTGGAGGCACCAGATCAACATGCTGAGCGTGTTCTTTCAGGTACGAGCTGATGCAGATGCCGATTGAACGAAGGTACAGCGGCGGCAATTGGGGTATGGCCGAATGAGCATAGGGGATTCCGAATTTGACCATCCAATGGGTGTCACATGGACTACCCCACACAACTTTGAGATCTTCATTGGACATCCATTGGATGGTCCAGGTAGATTGATTGTGGCACTCTTCGGGGATTCGTCCTGTCTTGGGGGTGTTGGCGTCAGGAGTGTCCTTTGCTTTATCTATTTTCTCATGCGCAGGCGGCATATCTACCTTGCAAGACGGTCTGCAGCCCAATACCAGGCCTGGAGCAGTAGATGCCGATTTGGATGTACCAACATTTGCATTATGGCATGTTGTGTTATTACTGTATTTCCGCTTTTTGAACGGCTGGTGTGAGAGAAACGCCGACAAATACAAGACATCAGAGGGCCATGGGTCTTCACCGGCTCCTTTGCAGGCCTTTGATGCCTTTACCCGCACAGCCATGGCCTTGTCGGTCGCTGGGGGTTGGGAATGTCCAAGGCCCTCTTGTTCCAACATGGGATCTAAGGATTGTATCCTTACAGGAGTGGTAGGACGTTTGCAAGCCTAGTGGCTATAGGTTCCGTTCTCTCAGAGACTCTTCGCTGTGGTTACCACCACCGGAAAAAGGCTCAAGGTTGAACCTTTGGCAGGGTACGGAAGGGCGTTTCAGGTCGGCAAAAACAACACAGTCCAGTTCACTGCATTTCCAGCCCCTGATAAATGCTTGTGCTAGCTGCAGCAGGTGCTCCAGACGCTTGGCTCAAGCAAAAAAACAAAGTCACAGCAAGTCAAGGTCACTCAAGAGCAAGGTTGGCCACCTCTACGACTCCGGCACGACACTGCAGCAGACGCGTGCTGTCATGGTACGTCATAGTGCTTCAGCCATCCCAATAGACTAGCTTGATGCAGGATCCAATAGCCTAGCGTGATGAAGGCCCATCCACTACCAGTCTGTAGGGGTTAAGGGGGCACCCAGAGAGTCCGGAATGTTCTCCTGGAGATTCACACCTGTCTTTCCTTGTGTTGATCGTATTACTGTATTGGCAAAGAATATGAAGGACAAAAGGGTGGTGCATTGAGTTGGCAAAGGTATGCAAAGGTGTTTAAGTATACTTATACACAGACATTCCTCACAAGACACCTGGTGCTGCCCGATGTTTTTGGGCCAAGCTCCTTTGGTGCTTTGTCCCCCCCCCGCCACTAGCTCTTTTGGCACCTCTCTCACTGCGCGATGACGTCCTTCGAGCAGCTGGATGCCGAGATGCAGCGCTTGAAGGAGATCTCCGGTGGAGGATCCAGTTTGGAGCCCGTCCTGTCCCCGTCTCAGCTTGGGAGGTTGACGACAAGAGGTTTGGAGACACTCTGACGGGTGCAGGAGGTTGGCCAAGGAGCCATGTTGTCCCGTGTTGTTGGGCTTGGTATTGTGCAATCACCATGCAGCTATCTTATGTTACATGACTTTTAGTACTTATGACGTTTTAAGGTTCTTCAGAGATCTTCATCTGTACTGTAGTGGTTTTCTGAACTTCTGCGAACTGATCCACTTGACTTGGATCCACTTACTTGGTATGTTTTTCTTTTGGCTCCCCAAGGCGCGGGTTCCACGACGAGGGCTTCCAGGCTTACGTCCAGCCAGATGCCTGGAGATTTTCGCGAGACGCGAGAGTGCAGAGGGCGTAGAAGATTATGAGGACCTGAAGCAAGTACCATCAAGTCTTGCTTGGACCTGATTCATCCGAGAGGTGCCCCTGAAAACAAAGGAGAAAAAGACCTTTCAACGTCAGGGGAGGTCATACCATGGTTTTCTCATGTTTTCTGGGGAAGACTGAGGCAAAAGTTGGGAGGCGGTCTGGTCGAGGCAGCTTGCAAAAGTGCAACTTTGATCAAGTAGGTCGGAATCTGGCAGTTGTCAACTGACCAAAGACCATCCCCTCAGAGCCCATGAAGAAGCTATCGGTCCTGAACTTTCCGTCCGAACAAACGAGCTACCAGGTGTCAAAAGCAATTAGGCTTCAGATAAACGACACCGCTTCAACATAGACAATATATAGACACGTTATCTGCATTTGGTTGAAGGATGTTGAGGGTTCATATACACCCAACAGGTTCGTTTTATTTGTTGGTGGTTTCAGGGCAGTCCTGGTTTCACGGAGCATGTCTCGCCAAGGCAATTCGCAGCTGAGCGGGCCTCCGCCTTCCAATCCGCCTGCCCTGACGGCTCACAGCCATTGATTTGGACCCAGCCACCGGGCAACATGAGTTGGAGCCGGGTCGTGGGGCTGAGCCAGGGCTCAGCGGAATCCAACATGGTCAGAGAGAGAGAGAGAGAGAGAGAGAGAATGAGAGAGAGAGAGAGAGAGAGAAAGAGAATGAGAGAGAGAAGGAACGGAAGGAAGCGGTCTTCCCGGCTCATGCTATAATTAGCAAGTTTAGACCGGCGTGACTGTGGCAAGGTCCCTGTACGTGCCCTATTGTCACAGCAGACAACACGGCGCAGTCGCTCGATGTGGCCAGGTATCACAACGAGTACCGCGAGATGTTTGAATGCCACCTGCAGAATGTTTTGCAGTCCCTCAACATGACTGAGGATAGCTTTCACGAGCTTTGTGGCTATATTCAGGACCTGATAGCCGCTTTGGAGAGATGTCTGATGAGAGATGTCTTGTGATTCGCAAGTCTGCCCTTGTAGGAGGTGTGACCAATGTGACCGGATTGAGTGCGTGGCGTGTGAGCTTTGTTGGCCACTTCCCACAGTGTGGCCTCCTATGAAGTTTGATGACCGAAAAACAAGGGCTACAAGGGGTATTGGATGGTAATTATTGGATACTATATGTATAATATATATATATATGACATTGTTGGTATTGCTATTGCTGTTTGTTTTCTACTACATCCTTGGGATTTAGAATTCCTAGAGCCATGGTCACACATCTTGAGACACCCACGACCTCGACCCAGGAGATCGTGGAAAATTTGGGCGATGACTCGGAAAACCTCTATGGCTACATCAAGGCGGGGTTTGGTTGGTATCCCTTTGTAAATATCTTTTTGAACTGGTCGTGGCTCTATGGAAAAGAGAGCCGTTTTGACACTTATAGCCCTACAGTTGATAGACAATGACTGCCTCCTTGCTAGTAGTGTCCTTGCTTCTAGCAAGTAGCTCAGACCAAGAGGAACGGAACCACACGATCACATGCTGAATCCGAGCTGTGGGCCCCAGGCGATCACCTCGTCCGAAGACTACGATGCCTTTTTGCAGCTCATGTTCACGGAGGTGTTTCGCCGAATCGGACCGGCAAAAAAAAGAGACACACACAATCACACTATATATATAAAATATGTGACCTACACACATGTGTGTGTGCGTGACCCACGCCGCGAAGCGGAGCGGGTGGAGGTTGCGGGGAGCAATCGTGTTGGGTAGGGTATGGTAGGGTAGAGGTGTTGATGGGCTTAGTGGGCAATGGGTGGAGCCCAAAATGATGAGGATGTGGAGTAGCTTTAACATAGTAAAATGTTTTGACGTTTGGATCACGAAGGGGGCTTTGGAAGAAGAATGACCATTCTTGTCACGTTTTCGACGATCGCTGCTTGGGGAGCCAATGACACTGGGTATATAGGTCGATTCGCCCCGCACGGATGGGGACATCCAAGCGCTAGGTGCAGAGACAGCATCTGGTCCCGATGGAAGGGCAAGTGCAAGAAATTGACGTCGTCGTTCCTGAGGGCATGGGTCCCGGCCAGCTCTCTCCTCAGATCTCTTTGCATCTCTTTGCTGTACAACTGTACAACGTTGGAGGGCGAGTCATACAATGAGCGGAAGTTGTTCAAACTGCTCCACAGCTCAGGCTTTTGCCCGTGGATTACCTGGGTCGGCGGTACGAGCTTTACATCCCGGTCGGGCGTGCCCAGACAGGGGTGCCACGCACGTCGAACCGAAGTTGGTGCTTGGTTGTTCTAGTCTGACATTATGACTATTAACATATATAAGTATATATATATATATCTATACATATCATCCATCTCTCTCTCTATAGATGTACCGTTCCTCTCTCTCTCTCTCTCTTTGTATGTATGTAATGGTAGCCCACATAGGCTTAGAACCTCTTGGAACCAGAGTTGGAACAGCGTTTAACAGATAGTAAATTACTACATACGGTAGCTGACCAATGGACTGGCGTGTTGAGATTTGGCCTCCGGACGCTCAGCTTCGGTGATCAGCATGGTTTGTTTCATGACTGTGGGTTGGAGGAAAGGAGCGACACCTTTTGATGTCAATCCCAAACAAAGGCGGGTTACAAGCATGTCAGGACCATCGATTTGGGGTGTCCAATAGGCCACCCAATAGCCATGGATCTGCACACCCTGGATGGGCTGTAGAGGCAGGGAGGGTGCCTTTGAGAAGACAGCGGCCACATGCACTGGAAAACCACATCAAAGTGATTTTGGGGTCCCCTCACTCAGTTTTTGGGGATTGGATGGGGTTGGCATGATTGGATCTTAACTATTTGAGAACCTGCCAGAATGGTTGTGTGTGGCCTATCCCTTATCCTGTTCATTCTGTAGTCTGCTGCCATCACCGTTTCCTGTATATACCCGATCTTTCAAGCCTGGGGTCAGATTGTTGTCTTTTGATGCTTGTCGAGCGCTTGTACTCAGGAGGGCTGTGAAGCTGGAACAACCTTCCGCACGACCATCTCAATAGAAAGTTGACTGGGTCTTGAAAAGACCCACAGCTTGCTGGCCTCAAAAGGGAGTGGGGACGGAAAGTCGTGCTGTAGAAGTCATGCCAGGTGGATTTCATTCAACAAGATATCCAAGACAAAACAACATATGTGGCAGGCCGTAGGCCCTATCAGTTGCACCCCCGCATCCTGTGTTTATTGATTTTCCATCGCGACGGCGCTTCAGCCTAGCTCTGGCACACCCGATGCGATGTCTTGCCCAGCCGAGTGTGAAACACACCTCGCAGCGTCGCAGAAAAAGAGCGTTCGAAATACACCACACGGCGCTGTGAGACATCGGATGGCGCCGTTTTGGTGGTTCGTTTTCGGTGCTGGGAGCACGGATGTCTCACTTACGCTGATGCATCAGAATCGATCAGAATCTCATCTCTTGGTTGATCAACCGCTACTAGAATGGGTCAGCGATTGAGCAAATCCCACTGAGCGGGCAGCATGGATAGCACTACGACTACGAGCTTGTATTGCTGAAGTCTTTTGGATCAGTTTGACTTTAATGCTGTCTCCACACATTTCCATGGACATCCATGGACAACCCCATCCAAGCAATTTACAAGACGGACATTGACGGACATCGGTTTTGTCTCCCGTCCTCTCTGTGAGGGTCCAAGATCACCCAGTTCGATGGCTTTTTTCGGCGCCACCGAGACGACGCTGGGATCATGGAGTTTCCCGCAAAATGCATCAGAAGCAAACCTTGCGCTTGCTCTTCCGAAGAGCTGAGGCTCTATCCTGTGGGACGCACCAACTCCTGAGCGCTGTGGTGTGGCGCCTTGGGGGGGCTCAGTCGATGGTGTGGCGTGGGCCTCTGGTGATTTTCGCAACTTTCAGGAGGTGAAAAGGGTTGATCTACCAATTGCACCGGTTTTCGCCTGTTGAATTTGAAGGGAGACCCTGTGCAAGGTTGCACCAGTGAAGGGCTCATCTACACGTTTTTCGAAGAGACCCAACTTGATGAGGCTTTGCCCCATTTTTTGGCTGGGCACTGCGGCGAACCAATACTTCATACGGACATGGACATGGGTGTCATCGTCAAAGACAGAACCAAAAACAGTGAAGCGGTTTCATAAATAAGACCCTTAAGGCTTAAGGATTGTTCTTGACAATGGTCTTGCAAGTTTTAGTCGATTTTCTCCGTCGTTTCGTCTGTGGGCCGTGGCAGTTGCAGCGTGTGGTGTCGTGTCGGCTCAAGCGACGTTATTCGAAGCCAGTGCCAAGAAGCCTCAAAGAGACTAGGAGGTAGAAACCACCTGCCTGACACAAAGAATAGGCACAGAAAGCCCCCCAAGAGCCCTCAGCCTTAAATGTTGAAGGTGTGTTTTTCTTGGATTTTGCTGTGATTCATCGGGCGCGCCATGAGGGCCATCCGCGTGGAACTGTGAATCTCCAGGTACTTGGTACGTACTACGCAACCAGTGCTCGCATGCAGTGTGTTGGTACAGGTCCATCTCCAGGTCTTGGGCTCCAGGTGAAATATCCATTTGGTCATCCATGATCCTTTTCCGCCTCAAGGTCTTAGGCTTTGACAGGCCCTGGGCTGCGCTGGAGGTCTCTGCACAGCTTTCTTCGGAGAAGTGCGATCAAGCCGCGGCGTTGGCCGTGCTTGGGCCCATCCTGAGCGCAGCGACGGTCCGGTGGCGCGCCCTGCCGGCCGACACGGCGTGCTGCTTGCTGTTGGTGAGAGAGGAGGACCTGCGCAAGGCCAGTGTGGCCTTACAGAGCGCAGGGCATGAAGTTGGCTCCATTGAAAGGCCGGAAGTGCAGATTGAATCAGACGGTGAGTTCTCCACTTCGAGCTCCGCCCCAGCGAAGCCACCGAACGTGCCGCCCGCAGCGGTCGCCGAGGCTCCCGTGGGGTCGCCGGCGTGCCGTCGGTCCAGATCCAAACGAAAGTCCAAGGCCAAACGGTCCAAGGAGAAGGAGAAAAAGTCCCGTGACCGTTCCAGACGGAGGTCGCGGACCCGCAAAAGCAGTGCTGCGAGTGCTGAAGCGAAGGCCTATCCTTACCATCAAGCATATCCTCCAATGCCACAGCCAGGGCCACCCCCTCCAGTCCCTGTCCGAGCTCCATGTCCACCGCAGGTCGCACCCGCAGTGCCCGCCGTGCCCGCCGTGCCCGCCGTGCCCGCCGTGCCCGCCGTTGTGCCGGGCATGGCGCCTCCCTTTCCGCCATGGCACCATCCTCCAGGGCACCCCTACTTCCCGCCTCCAGGGCCTCCCTACATGGGAATCCCTCCATGGGACCCCCGCCTCGCCCCAGCGGGACCGCCACCGGGACCCGCGCCGGGACCCGTGCCGGGACCCGCGCGGAGTACGGCGGGGCCGGAGGAGAGCGTGGCCTCGGGAGCCAAGACCTTGCCACCGAAAGCTGGGCGAAAGGAAACCGTGGGCAGTGCCTGGGGGGAGCCCACAGCAGCGGAGGTCAAGGGCAAGGAAAGCAAGGACAACTCATCATCCAGCCAGAGCTGAGGGCGGGAATGGATCACTCGGATGAAATGTCTTTGTGCATTGGATGTGCCGGATGTGGATGTGGGGTGTTGATTATGAGTCAGGCCTTTTCACCTCTTGGGCGGGCGGGAAAAAGGCCCGCTGGGAAAAAGGGCCTGGTGGGGGGAGGCTGTTCTTGCTCCTGAGGTTTGGCTTTTGTTATGCTGCTGCTGATCAACCGCCTTTTCGGGGCCCCATCACCAGCCACTAACTTGTTGGATTGCAGTGTTTGCGGAAGCAGAGGGCACCGATGAGATTGCCGATTGGGCAGCATTGTTGCAGCACCATCAGCAACACACACACACACACCAAAAAAAAGGCAATTTCATTGAAATCAGTCCGGCCCTCCAGTCTCTTTGCAACACCATCAACGCTCTCAGGATCTCTCAAGCTTCTTTCAAAACCTGCACGGACCTTTGTTCAACATGCTTTGGGGATCGCAGTTTCCCCCGCAAGCTTGGAAGCATATGATATCATTATGATATCATAAGATTATATCAACCATGGTCCCAGAAAACCTTAAACTGCCCATCATGATGTTGCAGTTTGTTGGTTCAAATTGGTGCTTCATCTCCGCCATGAGGCCTATTACTGCATCGGATACTGCAGCATCCAAGATGGTGCGCCGATGCCTGCCTGCTGCGCCCGCCTCTCAGGGGGTAACGGCCAGTAACCGGGGCATGTCTTTTCTCCTGTTGAAGAAAGACATCATGTACCATGCGCACGTCGTACCATGCCAAGGGGGACAGGCAGGTGCCAAACGCCTCGGAACCCGTGGAGTTCCAGCAGTCGGACTGGAACTTGTGCCGTCCGCTGGAACCCAAACTGCTTGCCGCTGGATGTGTCATTCCAAGAGGTGCCCCGTGGAGATGGAGAAGTAGTAGAGAACGGTGGACCCCCAAAAAAACACCCCTGAAGCCACGTGAGCCTGGGTCATGAGAAGTGGCAGCGAGAAGAGCACTGGGGTTCATAATGGTTCATTTGATAACTCCTCCACCCCAGCCTGCGTCATCCAGCTGTGTCAAGGTGGCAGTGGTGATGGCCATACCCTCAGCGGACTCAGAGAGAAGTTACACGATGCAGAAGGTCACCAAAGATGGCGCAAACCGACTCTTCTTGGTGTCGTTTTGTTGTGACTTACCTGCGGGCCTTTCTTTTGTCCCCACACTTCCCGCCTTTGGGCGGAAACCTCGTGAGATGCACTATGGAAGGTCATTCTATATGTGATGTTCCATATTTGGGCAGAGCACATAGCAGTCTCCGAGGTTGTGAAGTGGACTTTTTCAGGTCTTAAGTTTTAGTATGTTTGAGTGATTTTAGTGGTTCAGAGGTTTTCGAGAGCAGTACGTCCGCTTTCTGCCCCAAGTCCCTGCAACACAAGTACAGTGTGACCAAACAGTTCGCAGCGTTTTGGAGCCCTTAGGACGTCTTAGGACATCTTAGGACCCTAGGATCTCCATTGCAGTCTCCATCACATTTCCCTTCGGACCCTCACACCCCGCGGCAGCCGGCCGTTCGCATAGGTGGCTGCCTCGGTGGCGGTGGCCCAGCTGGACTTCTCGATGACCTGGTGTGAACAGGTCGGAGCGGGTTTCCGGAACCCGGTCGGGCGGCGGACTGCTTTCTGTGTTCTTTTAATTTTTGTAACCGGATTAAAGAGAGAATGACGGTGGGTGAGACATGGTGAGAATGGTGGATCCTGCGTGCCTCCTGTGTGCGTTACATGTGACCTGCTCAGTGACACACACACGCACACAAACATGTTCATCTCCGGTGTAGAGCAAGAACTCGTCGTTTTTGCGCTTTTTGATGCCAGAAGGCTTGGGGTTGGACTCAGTGGGCTCGGTCGGGTTCGCCACGATTGGCAGATGGTGGCTCGGGTCTTGCTGCTCACGGGGCCCCTGCTGAGCTCTCTGATGGCTTGGGCTTGGGAGCTCAGCCGGGCTGTTCCGGCGCGCGGGCCGCGGCGGTGCATCCATCAAACTCCTCCGAGATGAAGGTGTTCTTTCAAACTCGAAGCTTGAACATCGCTTGCAGTTTAATGAAGTACTACAATAGTGTATAGATATATACACACACATACATATATATATATACATATAGTTATATATATACATACACATACTAGTATATTTAATAAACTAAATACATTTAAGCACAATCAATATTGCAGCATTCAGAATTCATCAGCTAATTGGATACATGGGGATCATTCGGATGGCCAATTTGCCCAAAGTCGCCGTGTCAGGCTTCAGCCGTCCAGCTCTCAAGTGGTTGAACTGGCGGAACCGGCGGAGCGGAGCTCGTTCGGATCTTCCCGCGGATCTGGTTTGGGCACACCGACTTAAGAGATACACATCCAGTTTTCGACTATAGTAGGGAAGCAGGCCATTTATTATGTTGTTGTCCTTGAAACTTTTTTCTTGCTGATAAGTCGGATTCAATGGGTGCGGAGCTACTTGTGGAGCCAAGAGGATGAGCACCGAACTGTGAAGCGAATCTTGACAAACTTGAACTTGCACCCGCCAGGGGCGGCAGACACAGACCCATGACAACCATAGACCTACTGTGAGCCAGCCACAATTCTTCAGCTCTGACTTGCAGCTTGGGGTGAATTGGGGTGTTCTCCCTTTTTGCACAAAGCACTGCACCATCTGCACTCAACATCCTCCGTTTGGATGTTGTTCTATGATGTTCTATGGCGTTCTTTCGTGCCTTGCTTGAGGTGAAGGCAGAGCCCTTCGGAGTTCCCTTGGCCCACGTGCTGGCGCGGTGGCCTGTTTCAGGCTTTCCCGGCCATGGCGGATTGCCGCGGACCGGAGTGATAGACGTAGACCGCAGCTGTTTCCGTAGATCCTTCTTTCATAGGTTTTCATTTTGCCCTCATCCAAGCCTTGAAGAGTTCCTCGTGGCTTCAGTCGTGGCTTCACTGATCTGTCATGCTAGCGTCCTTGGGGGTGCCTATCACACGGACGATGCCTCAGGTCTATCCAGCTTTTCCACTGGCCACCCTGGCGCATGCGCCTGTGACTCAGTCTACGCTAGCAGAATACCTATAGAAACTGAAACTGAAACTGCAGCATACCTATAGAGGCTTCGGGACAGACATTCAGCAGCACGACCAAAACCCACCGTCCAGGGGCTGGTTGCTCTTCTGCCTCCGGGTGCGCTGATGAATCTCATCTGCCGGCGTAATGTTGGGGAAGCGATTCTGGGTCTATCCTTTGTGAGGTGATGGTGATGTAATTACCATTAATTACCCGTAGGCGACTGGCATGAACTTTGAGATGTTCCTAGTCCATCCCCAGGTCGATCCCGGTCCTACTTGCTCCCCGGGTCGATCCTGTTGATTGTCGTTTTGCACGGATAATTTGGGTTGAACGGACAGGCGGTGTGAGTATACTGCGAAGTGGAAGCATTGGACCCTGTGGAAGGAACCCTTCATGCGGAAAGTTAATTAAATTTTTCAATTGGAGAGGGGATCGTGCGCTGGGGATATTTTTAAACAAGTAATTAGAAACGCGTCGACATAGACATAGATGTTGGTCATACGTCCGATTTGGGTGTACGCACCCCAAAAACGCAATGCCTTTTCCCCCAAAGACCCCATGGTCATTTGTCCTAGCCGCTGGCATTCCAACACACGGTATTCCAACATGGATTTGTGTTTGATTCTGGGTGAGTTTTTTCAGGTTCCCATCATGTCTTCGTGAAGCAATGAACTTCCACCGCCGTACATGGTTCTGTACTGACAGCACCGCAACATGGCAATGCATTTTGACAAACGTCATCCCCGTTTTGAAGATGTGCTCACTTGGCTGGGACTCGCTCGAGAGAATCCATGACTTGGGTCACGCACATCAACAAAGGCGGTTCGAGTCTCCAGATCGTGATGCCCTTGCCCTGCCTGCTCCAAACACATGTCAAGATAAAGAACCATAACCCCGCGAAGCCTTAAGGGTGAGCTCCGCAAACGCGCCACGCTGTGCAGAGCACTGCTCGTAATATACCCTTGCGAAATCTTGCGAAGGCCTTGCCCACTTGAGCACTGCGACACCACAACCAATAAAGTCTTAGAGTGATATGTGTCCTTCGTGTGCACAGAACTCCTCGTTTAGCAGGCAAACACTTGATAAAAATCGTTGATAAGTTTCGAAGTGACCACAGAGGCTATATCTCTAGGACTCTACGCGGTCTCGCAGTGGGATTTGATGACCGTCCTAACCTACCAGCATAACAAAGGAAGATAAATCCTAGTCAGGGGAATGAAAAGAAGTTCGACTGATATGCACAGCTGTGCAACAAAAACCATGAGTGCCACTGCTTTCCTTCAACCAACAACTCTCCGTTTGATAGATTCGATCTACTAACAGGGGATCGAAGCTATGCATCCATACATCAGGGGCTATTGAGGATCGACATCACGTGTGATGCCCCTATGGTTCACAAGGAAATGCTCAGCACTGCCGTTAACAAAGAGCTACGGGCGGTGAAAGACATGACTTCCTGTTTCCGGCAACGCGCCCCAAATTTACGTGCATTGCCGACTCGGGTGACTTTGTGCATAGACCCTCGGGGATTGGTATAAGCTGATAGATCTGCGCATCTTGTTTACTATCCCCCAAACATTCCCAAGCTGGCACCTTCAGTCTTCAAAACCCTCCGGACAGGGGTTGTGAGGTCCCACCATTCCCGAACAAGCCAGGCCCTGGATGTGCAAAAGCAGGAGAATGGCTGTGAGCTCAAACTTGTCGAGGGTTTGGTCTTGCCATGCTGGATATGATGGGATGTTAATATGGACAATTGCCGGGGCCGGGGTGTCCCGCCATTTCGAGCAATGGGCAGACTTTCAGTGATGAGACTTTGACTCTTCCCATCTCATCCCATTTCATGTGCTTGTTCAGAAATTTTTTAAAGCACGGGTCCCAATCTCAGAAAGCACGCATGGCGCATCATGGCGCCCAGGTTCCTACCTGCCCATGAAATTCCGCGCCGTGCTGTGCGCGATCGCACGTGCGAATCGATGGCATTCGATGGGTAGCAACCTGGCCCCTCCAAAGAGGCCACCAACCCGGCGAAGCCACCGTGTCACGACGCTACCTACGGAGCGATGGGACG